TTCCCTACAAGGACTTTAGCAGACTAAGGCTTTGCCACCAGTATGGATCCCACCAGAGCACAGTTGGAAGCCAGGCACCAGCACTAGCTCCCTCATCTGGTGTGTTTATGTGCACTGGGAAGCTCAAGTTTAGATGCCCAGGAAATGCTGAGGTCCAAAACATGGCCCCTGAACAAACATTTTGCATTTCCAGGTTAAAATGTTCACTAAAAAATGAGCTTCCAGAGTTGCTCCTTGGTCTGGAGAACTGAAATTCTGCTGAAGTCCCACTTTAGACATAAAAGTGGGTTCTTTGGATGCTTCCAAAAATAACTTTTTTTTTTTTTTTTTAATAAATAGTGTTAATAAGTAGCCAGCAAATAAATCCATGTAATTAAACCATATGCAAATATATCAACCAGTATTAAGCACACTAAGCACCTGATTAGATACTAACCACACCTCAACCCTCAGATTAAAAACACATAAACAAGAAGAAAAACTTTACTCTGAACTCCACCCCCTGATGAAAACTTTGGCCTGAGGCCATTGAGTTTCAATATATATTGTAACACTGTAAAAAAGCCAGATAAACTTGCTTTGGGCAAGGTAAGATTAGGACTTTCCCACTGGGCAGAAAGAAAGCCCTCAGGAGGCCTTGCCCAATGAGCGATAGCCTTCTCTCTGCTCCAACACTGGAGCATATAAAGTTACTCTTCTGGTGGCCAAATCTTAGAAACAATGCAGTATGAATAAATTGCTACAAAAGGACCTAGTTTAAAAACAAAAAAAAACAACCACCACTTGATAAACAGTAATTAATCTTTGTGGTCTTAAAACACAAGCTAAAATGATAACTTATATTATCTTACCACAAATATTCTAGTAACTATTTTTATCTGCCCAACCTAACAACCTACATCTAACCTTAAGCTAATTTGTACATGGCAAGCTTGAATGCACATGGTAGCAGAACCAGCTGGCAGCACCACCAGCTGGAGTCACTCCCATGTGGATTGCACAAGAGTGAGCAGAATCTGGTGACCTGAAGCAATTAGTAACATCTTCATGATACTAAAATCTGAAATACAAATTGTAAAGCTGGAAGGATAAATATGCTTTTTTCTTCAACACAAAGAAAGTATTTTTCCCCACAAGGGAAAAAACACTGGGACAGGTCACACAGGAGGTTACAAACTATCCACCCTTGGAGGTGCTCAAAACTCGACCCTGAGCAAGGTCATCCAACAGTGATGGTAGCCCTGCTCCAAGCAGAGAGTAGAACCAGGCCACCTCCAGGGACCCCTTCCATCCTAATGGTATTGTGGCTCTATTCCAGGATCAGCAACATCAAAGCAAAAACCCAAAGAGACCTCATAAGTGGTAATAGGCTTTTTAAATAGACCTACCTAAACCGAAAATATTTGCACTAACAAAAAAAGGTAAAGTTATGACAAAACTCTGTTTTAGCTT